GTGAACTTGTCCAGTCCTGGGCTTTTGTTGGGAAACTTCTGATAACAGCTTCAATCTCTTTTGTTGATAATGGTCTGTTCACATTTTCTATATCTTCCTGGCTCAGTTTTAGTAGTTTGTATGTGTCCAGAAATTTATCCATTTCCTCCAGACTTTCAAATTTGTTGGCATATCATTGTTTATGGGAGTCTCTAATGATTCCTCATATTTCTGAGGTATCAGTTGTAATATCACCCTTTTCAGTTCTAATTTTGTCATTTGGATCTTCTCTCTTCTTAGTTAGGCTTGCTAAAGGTTTGTCAATTTTATTTATCTTTTCAAAAAACCAACTTTTTGTTTCATTGATCTTTTGTATCATTTTTCAGGTTTCTATTTCATTTAATTCTGCTCTGATCTTAATTATTTCTTTCCATCTTCTAACTTTGGGTTTGGATTTTTCTTGTTTTTCTAGTTCTTTAAGGTGAAGTGTTAGGTTGTTTACTTGCCATCTTTCCATTCTTCTGAAGTAAGCATTTAATGTGATAACTTTCCCCCTTAGTACTGCTTTTGCAGTATCCCACAGCTTTTTGTATGATGGGTCACTATTTTCATTAGTTTCAAGACATTTTTTTTGATTTTCTGTTTAATTTCTTCTTGGACCCATATATCATTAAGTAGAATGTTGTTTAATTTCCATGTGTTTGTATGGTTTCCAGAGTTTCACTTGTAACTGATTTCTATTTTTAATCCATTGTGATCCCCCAAAAGACATAGATTAATTCCATTTTTTAAAAATTTGTTGAGACTTGCTTTGTGACCTAGCATGTGATCTATCCTGGAGAATGTTCCATGTGCTGATGAGAAGAATGAATATTCTGAGGTTGTTGGATTGAATATTCTGTAGATATCTTTCAAGTCCAATTGGTCTAAAGTGTTGTTCAGATCTTGTGTTTCTGTATTGAGCATTTGCCAGTTGATCTGTTCAATGTTGACAGTTGGGTGTTCAGGTCCTCTGCTATTATGGTATTAGTGTCTATCTCAGTTCTTTAGGTCTAATAGTGTTTGCTTTATAAATCTGGTTGCTCTGATGTTGGGTGCATATATATTTATGACTGTTATGTCTTCTTGGTGGGTATATCATTTTATCATTATATAATGGCCTTTTTAAAATCTCTTTTTATGGTTTTGGTTTAAAGTCTATTTTATCTGATATAAGAATAGCTACTCCAGATCATTTTTCATTTCTATTTTCATGGTATATATATTTTTCCATTCTTTCAGTCTTAGTCTATGTCTTTCTTAACAGGTGAGGTGATTTTCTTGAAGGCAGCATATTGTTGGGTCCATCTTTTTCATCCAGTCAGTCAGTCTGTGTCTTTTGAGTGGGGAATTTAATCCTTTTACATTTAGAGTTATAATTGAAAGGTGTTGATTTACTCCTAGCATTTTATTGATTTTTGTTTAGATGACTTAAGTATCTTTTGTTCCTTTCTTTCTGATTTTCTGTTTGTCTTCTGTGTTTGTTGGTTTCTTGGGGTGGTAGATAAAATATTTTTTCTCTTTATTGTTAGAATTTTTGTTTTACTGATGGGTTTTGTTCTTTCTTGAGTATTCATGGCAGATGGCAGTGATGGTTGTTTTTCAGGTATCAAACCCAGTACTCCCTTGAGAATTTCTTGAAAGGTTGGTTGTGTGGTAGTGAACTGAAGTTTTTGTTTGTCTGAGAAATATACTATTTGTCCTTCATTTTGGAAAGATAGCCTTGCTGGGTAAAGTATTCTTGGCTCGAAATTTTTGTCCTTTAGTATTTTGAATATATCATTCCATTCTTTTCTGGCTTTTAGGGTTTCTGATGACAAGTCTGATGTTAGTCTGATTGGGGCTCCCTTATAGGTGACTTGCTGCTTCTGTTTTGCAGCTTTTAAGTTTCTCTCTTTATCTTTGAGTTTTGCCAGTTTGACTATAACATATCTTGGAGAGGAACTTTTCAGGTTGAATGTGATTGGGAATCTTTGGGCCTCCTGAATCTGAAGATCTGTGACTTTCTTTATACTTTGGAAGTTTTCTGCTATTATTTCATTGAATATGTTTTCAATGATATTTCCTTTTTCTTCCCGTTCTAAAATACCCATGATTTGGATATTTGTGTGGTTAAGGTTGTCTGTTATCTCTCAGATTTTCTTCAACTTTTTATATTCTTTTTTTTTTTTTTTTTGGTCTGCCTGTGTTAATTCAAACTGCCCATCTTCAGTGTCAAAAATTCTTTCTTCTGCTTGTTCTAGCCTGCTGGTTAAACGCTCTGTTGTGTTTTTTACTTCATTGAATGAATCCTTCAGCTCCACAAGTTCTGCTCCATTCTTTTTCAGGGCATTGATTTCTTTGTACATTTCTTCTTTCAGGTCCTGTATCTTTTTTCTCATTTCACTGTGTTGTCTAACTAAGTTTTTTTGTTATTTCATTTAGTTTCCATAGAATCGTTGCTCAAAATTCCTTGTCAGTCATGTTAAGGACTTCCTGTCCTATAGGATCTATAGCTTGAGAGTTATTATTTTCTTTTGGTGGTGTTGTACTTTCTTGATTTTTCATATTTCTCGTATCTTTCCTTTGATGTTTAGTCATTGTGGCAGGGGGTATTATGGTATCTTGATTTTTCATATTTCTGGTATCTTTCCTTTGATGTTTAGTCATTGTGGCAGGGGGTATTATGGTACACTTGTTTCACCTTGATGTCTGGCCTGGATCCTGAAGGGATTGCCAATTCTGGGCAGTGGGGACTAGCTTGGGCTGGGGGTCCTGTGGCATGCTGCACCTGCCTGTTGTGGTATGGCTGTCTCAGAGCATGAGGTCCAGGTGGCTCTCTGTGGTTTGATGATTTTTTTTGGAGTGATATACTTTGACTCTTTTCTGGTGCTGGGATCCAAAGGCAGTCCTGGTGCTGATTTTTGTGGGTGTGCTTGGTGTTACAACCTGTGGGAAGGCCTGCAGTGTTGAAGTCCACAGGTGAGCAGCCCTGGTGCTGGGGTTTGTGGTGAGGTCGGATATTCGCTTTCTCCCCATGGGCTTAGATCTCTCTTGGCACTGTGATGTGTGGGTTTTGGGGAGAGGTGACACAGATAAAGTGAAACTTTTCTTCTTATTTTCTTCAACGCATCATTTTGTTTTGCTTCTGTGCTCTACCTGGGTGCTTCATCTTCTCACCTGGATTCTAGAGCTCTTGTGAAGGTATTTTCGTCCCTGGATGATTGTTAAGTTAGTGTTTCTGTGGCAGAAAGAAGAATCGAACCTTCTATTCTGCCATTTTGCTGAACCTAAATTTCTGTTTAAATGCAACATTTTAAAAAATCTATCTACGCTAGCACTCTGGGGAATGCAAAATATAGTTAGCTATGAATCCTCCCTTCCAGAAGCTTGAAGGCTTCTCTAGGAACTCTGATATCTTTAGTTTCTGTGACCAGGACAAGACAAAAACTCAAGAGAGAGAGGGCCTCTAAGAGGCAGGACCTCACCCAGCGATGTCATCATGGGCATGACACACTCGGGTTGAGCTGAGGTCCTGTGGATCCAGAATCTTGCTTTTGCCCATACACTCTGTCTGCCTTGCTTTCTTCAGTAACCTCAATGCTTGAACTGTACCTGGCACAGAGTGCGCAATAAATCCTTATTGAATGAAATAGGAATGTTCTGTCCCCCAAGATTTGAATTTGAATCTCCAAATCACAAGAGATCACAATCAAAGTTGATTAATTTGTAATGAGAAATATAATTGCCTAGACTCTGTAGACTTCTCTCTTATAGGAAAATCAACATGAAAATACAGTAACTCATCAGAAGGCTGCTTGGTGAGGAAGGAATCAGCAAAGGAAGTGGCTGTGTGCCGTAAATTGTTCCACATGTCACACTGTGACATTCTAAGGCACTAATTTAATCAATCTGCATAGCATCTAGATTTAACAATTTAACTTAGTCAATAATATACATTGAGGGTTTAGTGTGGGCTAGAAAGGGTTACAGTGGTGAGCAAAAATGTCACACAGCCTCTGTACTCATGAACTCTCAGTAAGTAGAGGTGGGAAGGCAGATAGTAACAAAATTATCTCACCAGGAAGTAAAACATTAAAACTGTAATAAAGCACAAGGGAGACATGATAATTAGTGCTATGTGTATGCACAGAAACAAGACCTACTCTGGGGTGTGTGTGTGTCCCAGAAGGCTTCCTGAGGAAGGAAGGCTTGTGCTGAGACCCTAGGGTTGAGTAGGTGTTACCCAAGCTTGGGAGTGGGGGCAGGGGAGTAAAGAGAGTTCTTGAGAAAGAGCAACGTGGGCAAAGGTCCTGTGCTAGGAAGGAGCACAGTGTTTTTGAAGGACATCAGGCCGGTCAGCGTGGATGAAGTGCATCCAGGAGGGAAGGGCAGGTAATGAGCCTGGAGAGAGGGCAGCAGTCAGACTGGGCTGGCCCTCGTGGGCCTGGCTGGAGACTGTTGTCTTAATTCCTGGGGGGCTGGGATACCACCGAAGGGTTTGAGTGATAAAATAAGATCTGTATCTGGAATGCTCTGGATACTGTACACATTCTCTGGAAAATGCTGAATTAATACTGCCAAATTCTGTCCCTCTGACTCCTTTTTCTCCTTTTCTATGTTCATTCTCCTGCGGCTAATGGTCTTCCCACAGATAGAATTTAGTGTAGTTAATTAAGTTTCAGCTTATGAAATTAAATCACATTCCATTTATGTCTCCCAATATTATACTTGGGACTCCTGGATCAGAATTCTGGGTGCACAAAACTCTATAGTTACAGTTACCAGCAGACTCTTGGGGCACCCTGGCACCCCCTGTGTGCTCAGCCTGTGACACAGTAGGAGCCATGCTATGGTGACAGAAGCATTGTGAAGGGGGCCGAGGAAGCCCATCTGATCCTTGGCCAGGCTGATGAGGAGTTTGTTGGTGAAAAAGAGAAAGTCAGTTTCCAAGACTGAACATGCCACCTGCCCCACCTCTCCCCACGCCCATTCACACTCACCTTCTTCCCTCTCTTCTTTCCTGCTCTGACCGGGTATTCCTTTTCTCTGTCCACAGCTAGTTTTAAGTTTTTTAGTTCCTGTCTCATCAACTCATCCACCTAGGAGAATACAAAACATACTACTTGTTAGTGACTTTGCATTCCTTGTGTTTTCTTTGTGACATTTAAAAACGGCTCAAATTCTGGGTAGGTCATGAACAGGAAACTGTAAAAAAGCACAATCACTGCAGTAAAAGACTTTTTGTCACTACAACATAAACACAGCTATACCTGCAGCCTTATCTCTGACTCTAATTCTTTACGTTTCTCCTCTTTGACCAGGTCTGGATCATAGTCTTGAGAGAAATTCCAAGATTCATCTTTATTCTTCCACATGTCTATACTCCAGAAGGATAAAGAAAAAGAAAATGAAAACATTTTTTCAACATGTAGGTTAATGAAAGCAGCTACTGCAATACAAACGCACATTTAACGTTCTATCCTATTGCACAGAATAAAAGTGTGAATAAAATAAGCTGGAGAGTGATGGGATTCATGTATGTGCCATACAGTATCTTTAAAAAAAAGAAGAAATCTGCTAATATGAAAATATCAAGTAAAAAAGTATAATTCAAATAGTATCCCACTGTATGATTATGACCACGTTAAAACATGTTAATGGTAGGATTATACTATTATAGGTGACTATTTTTGTAATACATTTTATATTATTTTTGTTTTTCAAATGATTCACTAAAATATGAAAGGTTTAGTTGACTGTTGAACTCACCAGTGATTTAGCCTTGTTCCCTATTATAAAACAGACAACACCACACATATGAGTACCCATTGCTTTCCCCTAACTCAACAGCTCTATTTTTAAATGACTTTTTGGATGTTTTTGAAATGACACATATTTAAAATCTCCCTTCTGGTGGTTAGGAGGATGGACCTAGAGAAATATGACCTCAGAGAAAATATGAATAATTTTGTATTTCTTAAAAGGGGAGTTCCAAATATATTCTCAGGTACTGAACAACTGGATCTTCGAGGTGGGACCTGGGGGGGCTCTCCCATGAGAAAGCAAGACTTGCCAATTTATGAATAATTTTGTATTTCTTAAAAGGGGAGTTCCAAATATATTCTCAGGTACTGAACAACTGTATCTTCGAGGTGGGACCTGGGGGGGCTCTCCCATGAGAAAGCAAGACTTGCCAATTTAGAAATGAGATCTCTTCCTGGAATCTGGACTCAGAATGTGAAGGAAATTTGCTGGAATTCACCAAACTGGCAACCACCACCTGGTTTGGCCACTTGACTGGGAACTCACCTCAGGGCTGTGAGGACCTTCAACATGGGAAGGCAACAGGCAGAAGCCCCCAGCCTGCCGGACCACGGCTACAGCTTGGGAAGACAGGAGGGTCTGCGGGGGCCTCCGTGGCAGGGGGTGGTGTGTTCAAATGGACGACGGTTCCCTCGTGAGTAGGGTGGGGGGTCCTGAGGCCGGCCAAGAGTGTGCCCACCCCGACGTGGCCAGCTGAGAGGGGAGAGGGTGGCTCTTAAAGTCCACGCACGAACAGAAACATAAGTGTGGCTGCCACCGAGAACCAGAGCTACCCAATGTAAAGTCCAAGGCCAGAGAAGGCACCTGGAGAGTCACATGGGCAAACACATGAGAAAGGCGGGGGAGTCTCTAAATAAATCCCAGAGGACCAGGAGTTGGCAGCGGGATGAGCAGTGAAAGGAGAAGGGCATGGTGCGATTCAGGAGAAGCAAACTCCCCGCAGAGACGGAGACAAATGGCAAAGACGTTCCGATGCATAGCGTGGAGCTGGAGAAAGGAAGGCACAACTGTCCCCAGGCCTCCGGCCACCTGACACCTGCCCAGGCAGCACAGCCCAGCGCCCAGGCCCTGGTGTGGGGTCAGGTGGAACCCCTGTCCTACCATGTACCAGCTGCTGACCATAGCAGGTGACGGGCTCCCTGAGCTGCTTCCTTTTCTGAGGAGTGAAAACGCCCCCTTCCTTGTAGTGACAGGTGAGGGTAAACTGGAATAAACTATCAGAGTTCCCAGTTAGCCCCCAGCAGTTCTGCTCTTCCACTGAAAGCAGAGCATCTCACACAGCCTTAGCTCGCCTTACCGACCCTTTTCTACCTCCCCAGGGGCGAGGGGTCATGCTGCTACACTTGACACAACTGTCCCCAAAGAGCAGACACACACCAGCTCAGAGGAAGCGATGGCTCCAGAGGGTCAGTGAGCATGTCATCTTAGAGTGGTCAGAATCAGGACCCACGGGACAGGACAATTGCAGGAAGATGGGGCATGGAAATGCAGCTCCAGTTTTCAAAAACTGTCGTGGGGTCCACAAGCCACAGATGCAGATCCAGTGGCAGGCGTGGAGATTTCTGGAGGTGGAAAGGGTTGCTAACCACACACAGGTGAGGCGGGCCCACCTGACTTCCTGGGCAGACTATGGATGGTTGGTTCAGCAGGTATTGGCCAGAGCAGGGCCCGTCTGGATTCCAGCAGGTCCAGCGAGGGCTCCGGGCTCCCGGATCTCCCACCCATGAACCGAAGGGAACTGTGGGCTGGGCAGGGCTCCACCATGAATACTAAGCAAGTGATACAAGGTTGTAGGACAGATTTTTGAAAATGATGCTGAAAGGACCCAAATTGCTTCTAGAATGGCAAGTGTGGACTTATAACAAACAGACAAAAAATAAACCACAAAGGTGATAAATTTTTCACAGAACCCATTCACACGTGTCTTTCCCCAGACAGGTTGGCCACATGAGAAGTGGCCCAGGCTTTGGGGCACAGAACATGGAACCAGGTGCTGGTGTGAGGAGAGGGGAGTGTCTGTGCCTCCTGGAAGTGAGCCTGAAAACAACTGAAGAGGTGAGGTCAAAGTTCAAGGGTGTTATCACAAAGATGGGGCAGGTGACTGGCGTGGGACAAAGGGAGAAGGTGGAAAAGGGCTGACAGGTGGGAGCAGGAACACAGGAGGTGGCTGGAAGGCCCAGCTGGACTTTTATTCTTCCAAATAATCCTGGTAAGTGCCAGCCAGAAAGTCAGGGCATAGAAATCAATGCCCTGCATAAATTGTCCGTATCATCCCACTCATGTAAAAATATTTTAATCACTAATATCTTATTCTTTGCCCTGAACCCCCAGTGAAGGTGGATTTTGTGGTGGGCTTGTGAGGTGTGTGTCCACCAAAGGCATAGCTAGTGTATGGTTTCCTCATGTGACGGTAATTACTCTTTTTTAGCACATTTTCTGAAATGTACATAAACTTAAACTGTGGAGAGCTTTAAAATGCAGGAATAACAAATGCTTCTTTTTATGTGTGTAAAATGGTAAGCTTCTCCCCTTGAAAATACTATAAAAGGCTTAAATGTGCTATAAAGTGCTATTTACTAATAACTCTTTTCAAACAGACTTCCCTCTTGTAGGGTTACTAAATCTTCCGACAACAGGAAAACTTATCTGTTATATTAAGGTATTCTAAAGCAAAACAGCTTTGTTATTTACAGGAAGCTATTGTTCTTTTTCACTAGATAGATTCACTAAAACCAAGAAACAATGCGTTTAGTCATAAAAGGAACACAGAATATTTAACAGAAAGGAAACCATGACATGATTATTAATGTAAAAACAGTTGCACGTCCTAACACATTCTCATTCTGGAGTTGCAACTACATTTTGAAATAAAGCATTGCACAGCAACTTTTGCCGATTTCCCCTCCAGATCGTTTAAACGGATTGAGCTTTCCACTGAAACGTTGCTTTTCTCATGACACTCTTGCACAGGGCACTTTTCAATCCCTTCAAGAATTTCATGGACATTTATAAATGCAGGAAGCTATTCATGGCCCTCAAAGGGTAACAACTGCCCCACTCTCTCCTAGAGCAGAGAACGAGCTTTTATCCTAAGAATGTGAAAAGCGAGGCCAAAACGGTTTCGCATGGGGTGGGGGGGGGTGAGGGGTCACCGAGGAGGGATGGGGGGGGCGCTAATCCTAGTGATTAAAATGCTAATGTTTTATTTGAAAAGGAAAAGCTTTGATTTTCAAGAAAAGCATTCTAAGGCGAAGACATTTAATTTCTTCCAGCTATCAGAGACCTGGCAGATACATCAAATGCCACAACAGCCAACTGGGAACATGGCACTTCAGGTTTCCTTTTCTGGAGGGACACTGCTTGGTTTTCAGCCTTCATGGAAACACATGTTACACAAAAGGCATGGAGAGTTTTAAGAGCTTTCTTGGGAGCAGGTTTCAAGGCTTAGCTTCCTATGAGAACACTAGATTTTCCCCTAATTCATTTTTGCCTTTATTATAATAATATGTATACATTGTCAGGGTATTAAAAGGATTATAACACACACACAAAACTGTCCCATCCTGTCCACCTTCCAGTTACATTGCCCAATGGCATTCATTCCTATATTCACTCATTCATTAAAACTACATGGAATAAATTCAGTCATTAAGTTATGACTTTATTGAACCTGCTTTCAGTGCAGGTTGATGACAGAAGGCCCTGCCCGCAGGGACTTGGCATCCCACTGCAGGAAGCGACATATCCAAGTCCCTGGGTGGTAAATGAAGCAGGGTAAGGGTGGGTGGGCACAGCCTGAGGGGGAGAGGGTCATTTCACAGGAGCCTTCAGGGAAGGAAGGCTTAGGTGGTACCAAGGCCTGAAGGGACAAACGTTCTATGCAAGGGGAACAGAAAGTATGAGTGCCTGGAAGTGGGAGGGTGCTTGGCATATCGGAGGAAGAGCCCAGTGCCCATTAGGGGTGTTAAATGACTTAGCTTCACAGGAGCCCTGAGCTGGTTCTCGTGTTCTTCTATGTCTACACACCATGCTTATGTGCTACTCCTTGGCTGATCAGTTTCACACACCAGCTCCTGACTTCCTATCGTGGTAGAAGAGGCTTTTCCTTTTTCCCACCTTCCTTCCTTTTGCCCTCATTTCCCTACATAGTTATATCAGAAGAGAAGGGAGCCAGGCCTTCCAACCCCCTCAGGAAACTGCCACCCAGGTGTGAGTGTAGGACAACAGCACTGAAAATGCCCTTTAACGGTCCATTCTTGGGACATCCTGGAGGACCGGCTCCACCAAAAGGAGGCGGTGGTGACAAAATGGGGACACGGGGGAAAACAGGGGCATAGGAGAAAATGGGGAGTGGTGAGAAAACGGGGGCATGGGAGAAAACAGAGGCATGGGAGAAAGTGGGGAGAAAACAGAGGCATGGGAGAAAACAGAGGCATGGGAGAAAACGAGGGCATGGGAGAAAACAGAGGTGTGGGAGAAAACGGGGGCATGAGAGAAAACAGAGGTGCGGGAGAAAACAGGGGCATGGGGGAAAGTGGGGAGTGGTGAGAAAAC